AAAATCATTAATAGGCAATCGTTCGATGGGCTGAATTGCACAAAACGTATGATCGCACCGGCTAGTTTGGTGCGCGTTGCTATTTACTTTTACTGAAGCGCATAAGTAAACCCCCATTCTGCTTACAACTAAGAATAGAATGGAGCTAAAAATAGAAAAGAATACCCCGAAAAGCTAGGGAACCAGAAAAGCCAGGAAGCTAAGATACTGAGGGAATGTTTCCAGCCCACGTACAACTTCAAAATTTCAAACTCAGCCCTCAGCTGTGCGTGTTTCTCGCATGCAGACCCGTGAAAATTTTTGGCATAAAAGTTGCCAACTTGGGAAGCAGAGAAGCTGGAAAGCTGAAATTTTAAGAGAATTTCCCCGTCCAAGCACCATGTAGTTGCATAATGGACTTCCTGAACTTCGAGGTATGTCACAAGTTATAGCTACTGGGATTCTAAGCGATCGTATTATAGCACGAAATACTGCAAAAACGCATGAACGCACGAGCCCGCTTAGTGTGCGTCGCCAATGATTTTTATGAAGATTGGTCGTTTTTCAGCGAGCGATCTTTTATCGAAAAACGCAAATTAGAAAATGCACAGAATGTCAGAAGAGGTTTACGAAGTCCGCAAAACGCAATCGTTTTTGACTTTTCGGTAAAATTCAGTATTTTTCAATTCTCGGGCAAGGAATTTTGTCTTCAAGTTCAATTAAGATCACACATGAATATAGAATATCCTCGCAAAATTTCAGCTTCGCAACTTGTCTGGTAAGCGAAATAACCACTTCGCTACAAATATCTTTGAAGTATCCTAAGTCGTGATGCAAATGCAAATCGAAACTCAATTAAGGTATACGCAGTTCAGGTACACGACTTTCCACATAAACAATAAATATTCTGACAAAGTCTCAGGTACTATTTTCCGACTAGTTTCCAAGTTGGCACAGTGCAAACTGCGAGCTTTGACGTAACCGCACACGCGGCACAAGTGTGCGCGGTAACTGTATTTGAAACTTTTAGCTCCTACATGCACAAAGAATATTCGTGCAGCTTTCAATCTTGCCTGGTTCATGGAATCGTCTCCCACCAAAGAACTTTGCATATTTCTTCGGGGGTTCACACGCGAGATCTAGGGCGCATGTGCGATGATTTTAGGGCAGGAGGTGACAAATGGGCAGGAATACGCTTCAAAACTTCAGCCTTCCCACTTTCCTGGTTGCAAAGTTGAAAAAAGGTGGTAAAGCTCATCCGGTTCCGAATAAACACACACACACATACGGACAACCCTCTCGACAATATGCGTTTTCGCTCACTGCAGTAATGCCACAACGCTGCACAGCAAAGTGCATAAAAATGGAGTGCAGTACATAGCGCTCCCTTTGACACTGTTTGCATCGGACTCCCCGTCTGATGAGTGAGTCTGGACATTTACTCAACCACGGGGCAAAGTAAAATCAAATGGGCACAACACAGTGCTTGCCTAGCTAGTCCATGGATGTTGATGAGTGATATTTGCAAATAATTAAACGACCGCTCGAGCAGTCTTCTTCCTCCCCCTCTCTTCCCGCCCCCCTCGTACCCATCTCCCCTCCACATAAATTGAACAAGTTGTGGGTACGAACTGAACGAATGCAGGTCAGGATCGAAAGCCTTGTCGCGGATATTCGTGAAAAGGTTGCTGGAACTGGAAAAGTGTATGTTACGTGTCTGCCGTGTAGTGGGGAATTAACGAATTTTGAAGAAACTGGCTTTACTTTGCTCCTAATCTGAACCAGCTTTGCACTTACCTTTACGCCGAGCATGTCAGCTTGATTTCAGACTACTGGTAAAGATGAGGAAATAAAGATTCTTATGTGAACTTCGCATCAGCAAACATTAACCTTGTCAAAGTTTTACCTCCATCTCATCAATATCATACTCCATCGGAATTTTGTCTCATCACAACAGACTCGGTGAAATTCTATCTTGTCTAAACTTCATCTCGGTGAAATTTTCTCCTCTTCGTCTAACCAAGAATTTTTCCCATCAAATTCTCGCCTAATTAAAACAACTCAATAAAATAACGCTTTAACAAAACTTCATCAAAACTATGCCTCATCGAAGCTTCGCCTTTCTAAAAGTTCGCCTCACTAAAAATTCGTTGCAGCGGAAGTTCGCCTCACCGAGGCTTTGTCCCTCCGAAAGCTTGGCCATCAAAATTTCTTACCCCCAAGCGATGCTTCACTGAACTTTAACGCACTACCTGCGCAAAACCGTACCTCAGCAATTCGTTCCTTAAGGAAATCCACATTCGATGATGCTGCTGCATCTGTTCTGGGCTGCTTTGGTGGTGTGGCATTGCTTGCCTCCGGGGAGACATTTTCCAATGCTGCCATTACATCACTATCCGACATTGTTTTAGAACCTGAAAAAGTGCAGTTTGTTGACAAGAACATGCCACGACCCCCAGGTGCCTCTGATAGGCAGCCCCGAAAGAGGCCTCTACCTCTTTGCTGCGTGATGCCGATGGCACGGCGAGCACGTTCAGCGGAAACAGCAGAAGCAGCAACAGCGGCAGCTCCACGAAAACGCTGTAGCAATCCGGAGGACATTCACAGTGTCTTTCCACTTGCACGTCCAACTAGCAGCAGAATTGACCAATACTGCTGCAAAACTTGCCACATACTTACTAGGCGTCCCCGTCTCTCTTCCACCACTTAATCTTTCGGTGCCGTTTGCGACTCGAGCTCTCCTTGTAAAGGGAAAACGAAACGGAGGAAAAAACCGAAAAAAAAGAAATAAATAGCAACACGCACCACAGTAGCCGGTGCGATCATGCGTTTTGTGCAATTCAGCCCATCGAACGATTGCCTATTAATGATTTT